TGAATGAATCACGACATGCATACAATATAAAAAATAGGTGTGCATATCTGCTATTACCTGAAGCCCCGACCAAGAAACGCATTATCAACCTGATGGTAGAATAACTCCAAAAGGAACATACTTCGTATTCAATCAACTTATTGAACCTTCATCAGATTTGAATCCTAGGAAAACATCCGCATTAGTCCTTGAATCCCCTAGCTTCGACTTTATGCCACAAATTGTTTCTGTTAGTCATGTTGTAAATGTAAATTTACCACATGAAGTAGATCAGTTATATCGAACCAAAATTTCATAATTTGGTAAGGTATTGGGTGAGAAAACAGGATTAGTATATAATTAATAGTCCAAGACAGATTTATGCATCATGTTTTTCTCTTTTTTCATCTCTTTGAGTCGGATTTGTTTTGCCGGGTCGCTCAAAAGTTTGTGGTTATTCGACACCTATTGGATGAATTACAGATTAGAAATAAAAGATTTCAAACTCCTTATTCTGCGCTTTCATTTGAAGGATTTTTGACTTTTAGCATGGAATATTTATACATGTCACTATAAACTTACTTTGTGAATTTTGATAATTGTCAACTTTTTATTTGCTTTTGAATTTTTTTTTGCAAATTATGGGTTTCAACTTAAAATTACGATAATCCAAATATATGTCTCTCTTGTTTTGTTTATGACATTTTCTCAATATGATAGAATCTAAATATCCATTTCGCTTATCGTGTTCTACCATCATTTTGCCTTGAAATTGTCCAGGTAAAATAATTTGCTGAATTTAGGTTTCTGACTGATATAAACTTGTTTTTATACGGAATCACATCCTTTAGTAATAGCGCTGAGCAAAACGATTACCGTGCTTTGACCAAATTATAATCATTTGTTCTTGATGCTACGAACTAATGAAATTGTAACCAGAGCGCTGACTATATTTAATTTACGTTTATACCCATAGGTATTATTCGTAGGTGGGTACTAGTAACTAGGCGTTTCTAAATTGACTATTTAGATTTATTCAACTTTTCTTTTAATGCACACTTATAAAATTTAGATATTTTACGAGTAATCTATAAAATTGCATATGCTATATTACTAGCTTTGGATACTATAGTCAGCGCTCTACGATCGTACTTTCTAACCACAACCATTTGCGAATTAAAGAATATACAAAGCTGGTGGATTATATTTACAATAATAATAATAATAGTTAGTTAAAGTTTTGCCAAATTCCCAGATAGCAAACAGTAGCTCTTTGAACTCCCGGAAACATAACAAAAATGGTTCCAGTTCACGATGTACAAAACTAGTCAAGTTCATGTGGTGATCCTTCATCGCTTTAAGTTCTATATTTCCAAAAGAAAATAAAAATTAAATAAATGATGATGTTTGATCATTTACAAATAATCATCCTAGCTTTGATTCTTACCATTTCGTGTGCTTTGCGTAGTGGGTTGAGGATCAAGTTGTGGGTTATAAGAAGGTTTTATTTCTATTTTTTCAGCCTTCCCAATAGTTTTCTGAAGTGTATCCTTCAAAGCATCCCTTAATTTTTCGTTTTCATCTTTTTCTTTATCTAAAAGTGCGGACTTTTCCTTGATTTCAGACTCTTTACTTTGTACTTCCATTTGTAGGTTTTTAACTTTAGCATGGAGTATCTTTTTATACTCGTTATTTTTGTTTGTAATATGAGCTTGTTCTTGACGTAATTGTGAATTCTCACTCTCCAAAGATTTGATCTTAGATTCGTAATTCTTTATAATTTCTTTGAATTTCGAGAGTTCGTTCACCGTTTCACGCAATTCTTTGACTTCATTTTGCAATGAAACAACGCTGGCTTCATTTGTTGAACCTGCTTTCTCTTTTACTTGAACATTCTGTCGTTTCTTGTAGTTTTTACGCATTTTGTTTTAACAATTAACAATTTCAAAAGTTGCACCAAATAGTTAAAAACAAAAAAAAATATATGTATTTTTATACAAACTGTTGTTGTTACGTAAATATTACGTGTCTGTTACGAATGTTTAGATTACTGATATAACTCAAGATCGACGACGCGTCAACATAATATGCGTCGGCATTAATACATTGACATATAAATTTTATTAATTCCAGAAATTATGCCAGGATCAGCATGCAAAATTGGCGTATGTTCATCAATTCGGCAAAAGAATGTCATAGTGCCAATTTGGACAAAATAGGTTCATTTTGATTCGCATAATCTAGTCCTATTTTTGTCCAAATTAAACAATTGGGACAGTTGGACGTCAAAATATCTACCGGATTTTTATCATCCAATTATATTTCGCGTTATACATCATCAATATATCATGCAAATCACACATTCATATAATAAATAATATCGATTCTGAATTTGCAGTAAGAGGTTTTTTTAAATGAAAATGAAAATAAAATCCACAAGTAGATTAAAATATCTTACTTGCGGAACATGCGCATTTAAAATCCATATGCGGAAAGTCAAAAAATTTATTTTGCGGAAAAGTTCTTTTCATGATTTGATTGGTTTATCCCTTAAAATCACGTGAGAGATATGATGTCAACTATAAAAATAAAAATGCGCCTGATCTTAAAAAATCACGGTGCGGTTGGGGATAGTTTAATTTAGCCAATCGAAATAAACGCATTATGAGACCAAAATAAGTATAATGATCAATTCATGTGCGATTGGCTAAATTGGTTAAAAATTGATATTAAAAAATTTGTGTGATCATGCATCAATAAAATATCGAATTTTTTTACGATAATAATACCGTCAGACCACATTCGTCAGACAAAAGACAACAATGTATGTTTCTCGAGTATTTTCTTACTTATGCTTAATATTTACAATTAACATTGTAATATTGCATTATTAGGGAATTTAATTACACTTCTATCGGAACCACGATAGACTTTGACGAACTTAACTTCGCCGAGAAATTCTGGGTGAATTGGTTTAATTCCTTTGATAATGTAGTCTTTGCCACCGGCCTCTTGGCGTTTATCATGCACGAAACAGCGTATTTTGGACGTTGTGTCCCTTTCTTTATTGCTGACTTTATTCCGGCTCTTCAGAAATACAAACTTCAGCCAGTAAGTAATTCATATATACAACGTTTTATTTCCTCGAGATGAATGGAGATAGTTAGAAGACACTTTTCCTCTCGTTTGATCAAAGACAAAAGTTTCTAATAAATTCTGAAAGTATAAAGGTAAAAAGAAGGGACTATATTTCTTACAAGAAAAGCCAATATTTTAAAAAGTATCCTCCTATAATTTATATTTAAATTCAAACCCAAGTCCAAATCCAAATTCTCAGGACATTTAATTAACTAGCAAACGCAAATGAAGAATTTCTTGTCTAAAAAGTGAAAATATATCTGAATTTTATGATTCGTAAATTAATTTATCTTTTAAACTCTCTATCTGCTAAGAACAAAGTAAATACTGTGGCGCAACAATGGGAATGCACAAAGGCGGTATTGCGAAACCACTTTGGGATCGAATTGCCTTTGATTTTTGGTTTTCATCCGGTGGCCGTGTTTTTCGGCATGGACGTGACAATCGTCCCCTTCCCGTCTTGGCAAAAAATAGCATTACACGTGGCTTTCTTTTTTGTTTTTGAAGACACATATCACTATTGGTTCCATCGTCTTTTACATTATGGAAACTTTTATAAAAATATCCACAAACAACATCATGAATATTCCGCGCCTTTCGGAATGGTGCGTAAAATCTACTATTATTATATTATTTGACTTAATGATTAATATTACTATTGAAAATGGTTTTTGTTTTAGTGTGCTGAATATGCACATCCACTTGAGGTTATAATATTAGGAATAGGATCAATTGGAGGACCCATAGCCTGGGTAGCCATGACTCATGACCTCCACTTGATCTCAGTTTTTATTTGGATTACTCTTCGATTATTCCAAACGATCGATGCTCATTCTGGATATGGTTGGTGAACTTTTTTCATCAGTTTTTTTTTATTATTTTAATAATTCTAATAATTCTAATAATTCTTTAGATTTCCCATGGTCTCTTCGTCACTTCGTTCCTTTTTGGGCTGGTGCTGAACACCATGACTACCATCATATGGCTTTTGTTAATTGCTTTTCCACTTCCTTTAGATGGTGGGATTATTTATGCGGAACTGATTTGAAATACCATGCATATAGAGAAAAAAAGTCCCAGGAATTAAAAGCCGCGGCTACCACTGCCAAAAAAACGAGTTAAAGCAAATTTTTTTGTGTCACAAGATTATTTTCATCTTTCCAATTAAATTATTTTGAAAATCCGTATTAGAAAACATGTAATTTTAATAAACATTAATTTTTTCCCTTCAAAATATTTATTTTAATAAAAATTGATTTTTTGTCCTTCGAGATATTTATTTTAATAAAAATTAATTTTTTGCCCTTCAAGATATTCATTCATATATTCTTTGATGATAAAGTTATGGTTTCCATAAAGATATCACACCATCATCTGCATATGATGCCAAAATATTGGAAAATGGATGATGGGTAACTCCAATCACTTCAACTTCAGACAACTGCAATCAATAATTAACGCATTAATATCCAAAGAATTCGCGATGAAACCGTATAAATTATAATCTTTACCTTTAAAGTGGAAGTCAACTTTCCACTTGTTACATTAAAACTGTAGAGAATGGAATCTTCCCCAATACAATAAATAAAATCTCCTTGAGGGGAAACAGCACAACTCACAAAATCACCTCCAGTTTTCTTGCCGGACGTGAATGATTTCAAGATCTGACGCAAGACGATTCGAGTATGATTTAATGACATAATTCATTAAATTAATAAATATCATCAAAAAAAAAACATACCTGGCCTCGCATTGTCATCAGATATATCATTGCACTTTTATTACATACTACAACTTGATCCATATTTTTTGGCATCTGGATTACGCAGTTGACGGCTATACCACCAGAAATAGTTGCTGCTTGAGCACTATTAGGTATTACTGTATGCAGACAATCTGTCGTTTTACTGTCCCAAATCTATGCAAGAGTTTAGCTAATTAAAACGGATTATAAAATTACTATTTAACTTATTAATGCACTTACCTTCACTGTCCCATCACTACTTGCACTAATAACTTGTGTCATATCATAAGAAAATATGGCATTATTCACGAAAGAAGAATGACCACGAAATTCTTTGAGCGTCTTTCCTGATTTTAGTCCATGAAGTCTATTTTCATAAGAGGTCAAACAAGTGTAATATTATAGCACATATACATAAAGCGGCAACAACACGCTTACCTTACTGTATGATCAAAACTAGCGCTTAGAAGCTGACTACCGTCTCTATTAAAGCAGACTGATGTAACTCCTTGACTATGTGCGGGAGCAAAACGTCGAGTACATTGACCGGTATGAATTTTCCATACCTAAACGAATGGTTCAAATAAATATGTAATGTATGCGCATTTGATCCGCAAAATTACCTTAATTGTGCCATCCTGAGCTCCAGAAACAAGCATCTCACTATCCCTGCTAAAGCTCAGACAAAGAACGGGATCTTCCATTAACATTGGATTATCCTAAAAAAAAAAAGCAATTAATTTATAAATTAACAAGACAAAGGATAGAGAATTTAATACAATTACCTCAACTTGATACTTGAAATCTTTTCGTAGTTTCCCTGTCAAATAATTCCATATTTCAATAAATCCATCAACACTACCAGTAACCAGATATTGACCATCAGGAGAAAATGCAACGGATTCCGCGTGTTGTTTTTTGGGAAACTATAAAACATTCCAAATTTAGGAAAATGTTTATCAAAAAATCATATCAACAAAATCATGTTTAATACCTTGATTGTAGCGTAGCATTTCGTTGGTTCAGCATCATCTTCCGCTTTTGTTGTTGGGGCAGATCCTCGAAAAAGATCAAATGCTGTGTCTGGAGGTAATAGGCCTTGATGCTGTTGCCACTTTAATGCTTGTCCAAGTAAAGCTAACAATCTTGATGGTGCCACTACAGTCACTTCACTAGAGAGAGCTATATTCTTTATTTATTAATTAATACGGGCATAATTTATCCACTGAATAAGAAACTAAATAGAAACCTTGAGCTATAATTTGACGCCGTTTTTCCTTAGTCATACCAGGTGGATATGCCTGATTTTATATAGAAAAAAATTCAATAATCAAATCTCAAATCAAACTAATCATGATGCCAATAGCAAACTTGCCTCTTTAGGATCAAACCATGTGCGCGAAAGTAAATGTTCAAGATGCAAGTATCGTTCAGAAAAATGATCTCGTAGCATTTGCATCGGATCTGTTTGTCGCAATAACGTACGAGCCGCGCCAAGCTCGCGCATCTCTATCAATTCCAAAACAATCTAAGGTCTTTTTAATCTTAATTTTATTCATGTAGGAAATGAAAGTAATGCTATAAGTGACTGGATCCTCAACCTGTTCATAGAGATCAATTAATTTACGTTGAGGTATTTTTAGATTAGCCACCGTTCTCAAAACTGTATCCCAATGTCCTTGTGTTATTTCTTCCACAAATGATTCAACTGAATCAACAGTATTTAGAGCTATAGTAGATTCTTCCTAAAATAAGAAACTAATTAATTGAAAATCTCGAAATTTACATGGTTAACACATTTGATAAGAACCTGTAGAGCTGTATATGTGTTAGAAAGGTTGTTTTCCTTCAAAAATTGAAGTATTAACCTAATTATGCTAGAATTAAATAGTAATGCAATCAATAGTTTTGCTTCATTTAAGATATAACAATGCAGCCTACTTCAAAGAAACTCACTCGGAGGATTCGATTTCCATGGCAAATTATAGTGAATGAGAAGAAAGACACGTTGATGAAAACCATGATCCACATAAAATCTATTCAAATTTCCTAATTTGTAATTCATCCAATAGGAGTGCGCACATTCGACCTTCCTGATCACATGTACTTGACAGACCAATAAGAGTGCAAGAAAATGAGACAAATATCAAAATCTAATTTTACGTGAATTCTAAGCTTTAACTATAACGATAACCCTAATGAAAAATCACCTTTTAATAATTGCCGGCTCACATATGATTAGCGAATTCTTATTGGTTTATTAGCATGTGATTAGGAACCTTACGCTGGATGTAGGGACTTTTGAAATTTGGATTCCAACGAATAATGTTCTAGGAGAAATTTTAATATATACAGTCTGTACTCGTTATCAACCGGGGGTTGATAACATACAATTTATGATCAATGTTTTTAGCAACAGGTTTGATATCAAGGTAGCTAACCTTAACCGAAACTTTTAAGGAGACATCAAACTAATTTATAAATATATAAATTTATTTTTTTCTGATGATAATAACAATTAAAATCAAATATCAAAATTTAATAGGGTTGAGACTGAAAAATAATTAAAATAATTTTTAATATTATAAAATGAAAAATGAAAAATAAAATAAAAAAACCGCTCACCATCTAAATCAATACTATCGAAGTCATGAACTTTACTTATATATACGTTAGAGCTAATATCAAAAACTTCTTCAATTTCTTGTTTTTGTTCTTTTTGAAGCTTTTCAAACTCTTCTAATTCTTCAATAGTTCCATACTTAAGGGCATGTACAAATTCAGGTCTTTTGTCAGGATCAGCATCAAGGCATTTCTTGACAGAATCGATATAGTCCTGTGGCAAGCCTGGAGGTAGTTTTGGGCGAAGTCCATTTACAATATCTATCGCTAAACTATTATCATGTTCGCGGCCAGGAAAAGGTGGCAAACCGGTCGCTACTTCACAGAGTATTATTCCGAAAGCATAAATATCTGCCTTTGGTGTGTATGGTTGCTGTTTGATTACCTCTGGTGGAAGGTACGGAAGAACCCCAACAACAGCAGTTGAATCATTAGCATAACCGCTCTGTCCAAAATCAGACAATAATGCAACTGTTCCATCCTTATTCACCAAAATATTGCCAGGATGAAAATCTTTATGGCAAATTTGTCCACCAGCTGTATGAATCTTATAAAGATAATATCCTATTTTCTTATTGAATAAGATAAATAAGTTAGCGTTCTGTTATAAATGTCACGGGTAAAACCTTTAGTCAGAATTACAGTTTTTCTAGATGTTTCCTGATAATTCTCAATTGACCAAACATTTTGAAATGGCAAGAGCTTGAGCGAATACTTAACGCGTCATTTTACTTATAACCAACTATGGAATCAAAATATTTAGCACAGGCGGTCAACAACACTGATGATATGAACTATTTAATGACTTCAAACATTCGGATAACATCTAGAAAGATTGGCATTCCGTCTAGTGGTTTTTCACACCCTTTCTGCGGTGCTAGCGGTTGGATCCTGGATTTCTAGATACAATCCTTCCACTCACAAAAATGACTGGATTACTTATCCGCATATAATAATTATTCTTACATTGAGCATTTCTAACTTATTCTTCCAAGTCAAAGTAGCTGCATTCTTTCTAAGATATGAGCGGAAATCTCCTTCTTCAGCAAGGGAAGTTACCATAATAAAACTTGATGTATTTGGGTTGCGTGATACACCAAAGAAAGTAGGAGGTATTTGGCGAGAACATCGGAACATTAATATGTGATTTTTCATCTAAATAAACGATCGCAATTAAATAATTAGTTTTAAGTACTATCGTTATCATTTCTAAATTTACCTCTTGAATAAGTTTTTCAATAGCTTCCTCATCCGAACGATGTAATTCTTTTAATGCAACCTTAGTTGGCAATCGTTCGTGCATGATAGAATAAGATGGCCGACCGTTAGTCCAATTTGCAGAATAAACTTTACCGAATCCGCCCTCCCCAATTTGTTTAATATCATCAAACTCATCATAATTAATCCATTGTAAACGACAATCTCCTGGACCGGCATACTCGGCTTGATGATCTCTTATGAAATCGTCAAGTTTTTGACTGCCTGTAGTCTGTCCTTCTTGTAGATCATAGGGACAAATTTCAACATTTAGTTTCGCACATTCCCAGCAATTGTTAACCATTGCTATAAAGCGATGGTAATTCCATTCGAATTTACAGCAAAAAAGGTTTTTTTGCGTAATACGTGTACCACTTTCAAACTTGAATATTATCTGTAAATTTTCTGGTTAAACGTAACAGATCCCGGGTATTCCAAGCTATACTAAATGCAAAAAAATGTCGATTTTATTTTCGCGGTTATTTCGCGAACTTGTTCGAACAACCTCACGCACCCGCAATGTAACTTCTAATTTAGAAAAGCAGCAGCACCGTCTTTACTCCTATTCAACTGGTGATCCCTCTAAGATGACTAGATCCGGTAGGCGAACTACTGCCCCTAAACTCAAGAAATACAACTCGTTGCCATTAAACTTGCCCAGCCCCGAAGAAAAATTTCCAAGTGGATCTCCAAAACAAACAGCACAATTTCTTACCGGAAAAGATCCTGAAGGACGATCAGTAGTCATACATCCATTAATTGGCGGTGGGAAATCAATACTAAGAAAAAGTTACAAAGGAGATTTAGTTCCATTAGTACCTCCCGATGAGGTTAGTGTTAGAAATCCGTCATGAAAAAGATTTCATATTTGAAATTGATCATTGCACACAAATTACTTAGTTGTTGTTCTGGTATCTATTTCACACATGTTGAAATACGATTGTTGCCTGGATCAGATGCATATTATCGATGAATACACAATTCGATTGTTCTTAAAGAGAAAATGTCCTTTGACATCTATGTCAAACAGATTTTTTACCTTGATTGTACGACGGTGGGAGCCGAGCGAAGTCCATTATAGTGAGTTTGTATAGTGATAATTATATTTATTTTTGGTTTCAATTTATAAAAAAAAAGTCTCGCGACACTTGTTTATTTATAAGAAAAAGAATCGATGGAACCAGTGAAAACGTTTCGATGGCAGGTGTTGACTAATAACAAACTCATGGATAAGAAACCCACAGTGCGTCTACGTATTCGAAGACGTATACGTGAGGCACTTCGATATGTTCTTCCACTTGTGGGAAGAGAACGTAAGTGAAATCATTAAAGTAGTCTGAACAATCAAGAAGCGGTATAAGATGGATTTCAAATTTTATAACAAGAGTAATAAAAATAATAATATTCAATGAAGGTCATGATTATCTCTTTTTTGGTCGGCTTGACACTCATGAAGCTGAATGGGAGGAATTAAAAGATGCGGTGCACGCGGCTATCGCACTACCTCGTCTATATAATTTCAACCTCAAGGATAAAAGAGGAGGACCAAATTACTTGGAATATATTGAACGCGTCGGGTACAAGGATGATCCAGACAGAGATAAAAGAGATGAATATGATGATGAAAACGACGATGAGGATACGCTGGACTATTTTTCACCCAATCGTAATGATTATGATTTTGACGATGGTGGTAGATATAAAGCTCGTAACGATAATGACTCTAGAAATAATTTTAATAGTCATAATAGAAATAACCATAGCAATAGGAGAGATTTCTATGGTGGTGTTCAAGGAGAAAAATATGCACAAAAAAGTGGGAAACTTGCGAATGACAAAATTAACAACAATTATGGCAACAGTAGCAGCAGAAACAACTATGATAATCCTCGAAATAAATTGAATAACGAAGACTCCAATTATAGGGATTGGGATCTTCAGCCTCTTAAAACACTACGTGATAATTTTAATGATTTAGATAAGGATTGAGATTAATAGATGACGGATTACAGAGAAGACTTTAAAAACATTTGATGATAGTAACTAAAGAGCGATAATTTCAATATCTTGTTATTGAAGTGTTAAAAAAACATGTATTATTTTATCCAATTAAAAAGAAAATTTTGATTCTAATGTGATTTAATTCAAACGTTTAAATTGTTTTTTGTCCACTTGATATGATATCGTAAAGCATCACCCATTGTAGCCTGTTTATTGATTCTTTTATGTTCATCCCTGGATACAATACGTTCAATTACTTCCCCTGAACCCTTAATTAATCTAAAATATCCAAAGGAGCAAACATAAAAAAAAAGTCGACAAATGAAAAGAAATTTCTCGATTGTTTTTATATCATACCTAATACGTCCATCCACTGGATCTACCACTTCACGTATCACTGACTGCTCAGCTTCATATTCTTTTTGTGTTTGCGGTCTCATTGGTGGTCTTCTATTAGTAGTAGTAGCAGCAGTAGTAGTAAATGCGGTGATCGTCTTGGTACTATCATCATTGTTATTGTTAGATTCATTTGCAGGACGCAGTCTAGATGCTATTCTTAATTCCTCTTGGTTTTTCAATTTTTCTTTCCATTCCCCGAGTTTCTGTTGCCATTCGCTTATCATCTCATCTTTGTCTTTAATTTTATCATCATCTTTCCCTTTTTTTTTATGGCTATGATGATGATGATGATGATGATGCTTTTTATTAGACTTATGGCCCTTATGTTTCTTTCGTTTAGAATGATGTTTACGGTGTTCCGAACAAGAATCTGTGTCACTGGCAGAGGAAGAGCAACTGGAGGAAATAGAAGGCGAGCGCTTCCGTCTCTTCTTAGAGTGATGATGTCTTTCTAAAGAATCATGAGAAGACGAAGAGGAGGCCGAATACGAGCGTATACGCGTTCTCCCCCGTTTACCTTCTTTCTTCTTTTTTAATTTATGTTTGCGATCGTCGCGTTCTTTATCACGTTCCTTGTGTCGTTGATGCTCACTTTCATGCGCTGTCTTTGAATTTGAACTACTATGACCATTTCTCTTTCGATGTCGATTGAGAGGTGAACTTGAACGAGAACGTAAAGGTTCTGAAATTGGAGAGGGTGATTTTGAACGTGCTCTTTTTGATTTATGGTATTTTTGAATTTGTTCTTTAAAAGACTTTTTTTCTTTATCTTCCCTCTCCATATTTTTTCAAAGATACGAGAGAACGCGACGGTTTAAAACTCGGAGATCAAAAATCTGGTTGATTCTATGCTCGGTTCCTGATCACATGCACTTCACAGACCAATAAATAATGATATTTATATTGTTGTGATATGAACTTTTAGTAGAATATTAGTTAATTTTATTATTGGTCGCTTCATATCACAATATGAT